TATAAACCTTGTTTTACATTTTTTTTGATTATTATATACTTTGTATAGGGTGATTTTTTTCAAAAGTACATGTTGCAATATGAACCAATATTAAGTTATATTGTATAAAATTTGTATTTAAATATTTTCCCACCAGAAAAGTAGAAGTTAATAATATTAAATAAGTAAATTTATTAAATTTATAATAAAAATAAAAAAATACACATTGTAAATCAATACATTCATTACTATTATTTTCGTGGATTTTTTTTTCATAGGATTTTTTTTCTTGGCTTTTTTTCCTACATTCGGTCTATACTGGGGTGCGTTCGAATGTGGATAGTTATAGAGTAAGTGCCTACTATACATATTGTTTATCTCGGTGTTATATATATATATATATATGTTAATCATGTGTTATTGACTATTTAGTATATAGTTTAGCTAAGGTAAGCATTAACTAGTTAAAATAGTTTAAGTTAAGCTAAATATTTAGTTTACCTATTTTTAACTTAACTAGTTAATTATTTTATAATTAACTTTTTAAAGTTAAAAATATTTTTAAATTGTTGGTTTTAATGGTTTTATACATAAAATAATAGTACCTAATCAAATACTTTAGGTAATAATAATAATAATAATAGTAACGGATGATACAATGATATTTATTGAAATTTCTGTTTCTTAAACATATAAAATAATATCATATTACAGAAAGAATAGAAAGAAACAAAATACTCTTAATGTGAGCCACCTGCCGCTTAAAAATGTAGATAGAACTTTTTTTTAAACAGAGTTTAGTTAATATTTTGTTCATATTACCTTTAGACTAGACTGAGAGTTAAATTTTTTATTTGCTAACTAATAACTTCTAATTTAACAACTTTGTATTCACTTAACCAACATGACTTGGGTTACATATATTATTCATTTTATTTAAATGCCCACCTTTAGCTTTAGGTCCTAGGTAATGAGGTATTTACAATATTTACATTTTCACATTTCCAGTATAAATGTATTATCTACAATAGGTACCTATGTAGTTTAATAATATTACCCACTATTTATTTTAAATGTAACAATGTAACAACTAACTACACCTAATTTTATAAGTTTAAATTTATACAAACTACATATTAAGTAGTATGTTCATACTTTTATTGTTAAAATATCTAAAGCCGCTTCCTTACAGTAGTGGTGAACTTTAAATGTAAGATTCTTATTTTTAGTTTCTTTATCTTGTCTGCAATATTGAGTGTAGATAACTCTAGTCTCTAAGATTTGAATAATTTTATTGTGCATTTGTGCCTACATCAAATTGTATCATATATAAATTATAAGTAATTATATTGAAAAAGTGAAATAAGATGAAAAATTTGGCTATTAGAATATTATTATATTTGTCAAACAATTATGAAATATGTTGTAATTTCTCCTCTACATAAAGGGCATCTGTAGTATGGTATTGTTCTGTATGGTGGCATCCTTATGTATGTTTGATGGCAAGGAGCACACAATCCTTGATGTCTACATGGTATTGCTATGACAGTGGTCAGTGGGCATTGAGGAATGGCATATATAACAGCTTTCAGATATGATTGGTTCAACTGAAAATTCAAAGTATGTTAATTAATTAAAGTGTATACATTTTAATAATAATGTGTATTATGCATGCATGATTAATGATTATATATTTTTAGTGTAATATTTATTTACTGGTCAAGTCTTCAAGACTAATATATGCATTATCCGATAATACTGGATGTGGTATATTTTCTTCTTCTTCTTCATTGTCCAGCCCATTGTAGTGATCCCTCACTAACGCTTATATTTGAGTGACCGACGTCTGTAGTTGGACCAGGTTGATCAAAAGGAATGAGGTTTTTCGAAGAGAGACAAAGGCGCAATGTTAAATGAAGTATTTATTATGATTGAGTTAAACTTGTTATAAAATAAAATAAAATAATTGTTACAAAAAGTTATAAAAATTTGTGGACAGCACGTTAAGTAACTGCCCGAGAACTAGTTAAGTCTACTTGTAGTTACTGGGAATGCACTTAGTCTGGCGGCGATGTAGAGTGCGCGGACTCTACGACCAGGTAAGTACTACATGTAGGGATGTGAGACTAATTCTGATTGTAAGGTGTACAGAGACTCATATTTATATGGTTCTCTGTACTCCCTGTTATACACGGTAGAGACTAGGAGGTGGACAAAAAGGCGAGTCGGCAGCTTGTTGTTATTGTAGCTGTCGAAAAGTGGTTTGCGACCAAAAGGTAATAAAAATTTGCAATATCATTTTAACTGGTTCTTCTCACGTCTTTGATTCTTGGAACTCGTAAAACGCAATAGTATTTGTGTAGACCATATGCCTTGCATTGATAGTTCCGAGAATCCGAAATAACATATTAAAATGTGAAGGCCGTGGCTTTAATGTAATAAAGTAAAAAAATAGTGAATCGACTCCGTCGGTTTACTACACCATGAATAAGATGCAATACTAAAAATAAAAGAATATTAGGACTATTACCTATAGTTGTATCTAAGTGAGTATATTAAATTGTACTATTTATTTCTCCATCAACAATAGGCCATCTTTCTAAAATAAATTCCCTGGCATTAACTGGTTGCCGATTCTCAACGACCGGTTGTATTTCAGGAAGTGGAAGTGGTTGGGCAATATGCATGGGTCTGACTACTCCAAAATTTGGGGTAACATGTTTAGTACATGCCAAAAATTCAGATACTGTGTAACGCCCTTCAGCTAACAGCCTAGAAGCCAAATCGAGGTTTCGCTGGTGGTCTATCCAGATTTGCCGTTGTGGTTCCCTGACCTGGATACCATCAATTGCCAAATTGTAATCGGCCAATACACCACTTGAGTATGTAATTAACCCTTCTGCAAAATTTAAATGTTTTATAAAACCTATCATGGTAGTTCATATTTTTTTGTTAGACATTTACGGTGCCTTATAGTGATAATTAATTTAAATTTATGAAGACAAAAATGTTTTTATTAAAAACAGTATGTACAAGGTAAATTAGTAAAAATTATAAAATAAATTACTTAAAAACACCCATGGTTTTGGTTGATGCATATTACCCATGTGCATGCGGAGGTGTTGATGGCTAACTTCCAATACGTTGTTTGTCCACCAAATAACATTGTTTACGGACAAGATGTCTGCATTTGGTCCTGTATAATGTATACATTATGTTTTTAAATACACTGTAATTGTTATTCATGATCATAGGCGGTACTAGACCCTCTTGGCAGGGGGGGCCAGAAAATATTTAAACTATCTAACTATATGTTGGGAAGGGGGGGGGTCGTTAATGGGTGACTTCCCCTTCACCCCAATAAAACCCCTTCCAATTTACTCATTGAATAATTTTGTAAATATAAAGGTGGGTAAGTGGATGTCGCTCTGCTGTACTGTAGGTTACAAGTGGGTCACTGTATAATGGATGGTATTAAATTTGAATGCAATGATATAATATCATTGTATTAGAAAAACGATTCTGAGCGGAGACGGTATGTCAGTCTAGGTATAAGACATATTATATACTTTTCTATGGTATTAAAATATTAAATTATATGGTATTTATGAATAAATTCCTTAAAATATGCACAGTCTTATCATGAGCATAATTGTTATTCCTTATACTATGGTAGATTGTATGGATAGGCCATAATATTTTGATTTTTCAGTTTCATATATCCCCGAATAATATTTTTAAATTACAACAAAAACAAAGATCGTTAATATTGATTTTAATATTTAATTTCGTCCAAATTTGAATTTAAAATGTCTGTAAAAAATAACTGTGTTCATATATTTTTTAGATTTTTTGGTTACAGTATGAACTATTTATGAGAACCTTTGTTTTAAATTTGCAATCTTTAGCTATAAAATCTGAACATTTTATAATTTATTAATTACAATGATTGATAATTTTCGAGATTTTGTCAAAATTCGATGTTTAAATGCTTATAAAAAAAAATTGTGCCTATGTATTTTTAATATTTTTCAATTGCTACTGTAGCAATATATCAGGAACCTTGTATTAAATTTTTACAGTTTTTGGCGCAACAGATAAAACTTTATTGATATTTATAGAAAAAAAACTAAAAAAATTGAACAAATTTAACAATTCGAATCTTTTCTTATCTATCGCAATGTTGTAACGTTTTGACGCACATCACCTTATCAGGATTCGTTGATAATAAAATCACAGAATAGATTAAATAATAGAATATTCTTTAAGTGTGTGTTATCATTCACAGATATTTTGGAACAAATTTCGTATTGAAAAAAAAAATTTATATATTTTTAGAGTTAGGAAACCGAGATTTAAGGAATTATGTATAATACAGGTACGGTTCGCAGGAGGGGCAGTTGCCTACTCTGCCACCCCCGTAGTACCGCCTATGTTCATGATTTCTCAATCAGTGTCAGTATTTTACTATTCATATTTAAATTATTAACAACTAAATAAATTAAAATAAATATGTAAATTTAATTTAAAAAAAATTTGTTCAATTACTTAAACAAAGTTCTTTGTTATTAAAATTGACAAACAATTTTACAACTATGCTAAGTAAAACTAAAATGTTAAAATGTAATGCATCATATTCCTATATCATCTTCTTCTAATATTTTTCAGGTTTAACAAACCTTGGAGTACTGGAAATATCTTTGGAATTCTACAGCTTTCCACTGGCAAACTATTTTCAACATTTCCTGTGTAAAATTGTCTTATAGAAAGAAAGCCTTCCATCACCTTATCCACAGGCAAAAGTGGTAATGCCATTAGCATATGTACGATGTCATATGCATTTCGATGCCCGGTACATATTTCTATCATTCCTGTAATACATTTAAGATTATTTAATATATACTTATTGAACCATGAAAAATATTTATAAGCTTACCAAATTCTCCAACTTTTCTCCACAGAGCTTGAGAGCTATGGAACCAACAACCCCTTATCGTAACGTTATTGAAAATTGCTTTCAATTACACCATTGCAGCTCTCTCAAAATCTACAATAATTGTTTGTGGTGTCCACTGTGGCTCAATTTCTAATAGCCATTTAAATAAGGCATTGTAAGCCCTCGCTGTCTTTCTTGACATCAAAGCAAATGCAATTGGGAATCCCTAAAATACAAACATTTTATAATTTATAAAATGTATACACAGATAGATACCTAAGGTTTAAGGTAAGCTGCAATGATTATCACATTATAATATTTGTATACATGAGTATAATTATTTTTAGGTATAACTCACGGTGTTGAATGTTATACCCATTATAACATATAGCTGTTGACACTCCCGGTTAAATGATGGAGCAGCAGCAAATGTACTATCCATCAAAAACGTTGATCCAGTCCTCAGTATACTGAAAAAGAAAACAAATAGGTTTTATACAGTTATTATAATTTATTTACATAGATACCTATCAAGATAATTCATTTTCTAATTACATACTACATAGTATTTACTTTTTAATTTCTGGTAATACAAACAACATTGTTATCCCTTCTTCGGGATCAGTGCCTATTTTTCCCATATAAATAGGTACATTATCCATCACTGGAAGATGAACATAGTCTCCAGTCAATTGCTAATGGAAATCGGTCATGGTTTGTGGTGATGTTGGTTGATTAGATTTTCTATGCCTTTGCATGGTTCGCCGATGAGATACAAATGGACCAACATTTTTATTAATGAATTCAGGCATAGAACTTGTCTAAGATATTAATAATATAGTATAAATGATTTAATATTTATTTTGAATACAATGTAGATATATACAATATACCTATCAGAATATCACAACTACGTACAATACCTCTGAATAATTATTAATTCTGATTATTAAATCGATTTCGATTTACTTACTCTATTCCCAATAATTGTTGTTTGGGTTTTTAGTTTTTACATTCGTATATTAAGGGGCCTCGCAATGGCATTGATTTAAGGAAAATCATTTAGGCAATTTCTAATCTCGTATAATATATATATACGTCAAATGCTCTACATGTGTACACCTAACGGATATCGGGATATGATATATTATTATTATTGTTATCGTCCGACCAGCGTGTCGCCAAAACTACCGTTGCGCCCCGGTGCAACTCGTTTGCGCACAATCCAAATTGTTTACCTAGATATCGATGACTCGTTTGCGCACAACATATTACATAAACACTGCATAACATATATTTTATATTTTTAAATTTGGACTTACCTATTTTCAATAGATGACGAGTATTCCATCGTCTGCATACCATACTTTTTAACCAATCAACTGTAGCATGTAAAAGTACCTTTTTAAGCTATTTATATTTTATTATTGTTATCGCCATCGACGCGGTGTGGCAGAACGAATATATAAAGATTTAAAAGTTTTGAATCCGATATGGTGTCGAGCGAAACCGACAAATCTTATAGCGAACGGTAAAAATATACCAATCGGAACGTGAGTATCGCGTTATACGTATTAAATTTAAATACGACCTATTTATTTCTTTTCCGTTATTTTCTCCGTATAAAATGTATATCCTAAACGGTTATTTCCATTAGACGTCTCTAGTTGTAATTTTAAATTTATGTCCTTTTCGCAACGTGATTGCGTATAGTAGTACGACTGTATAATATGTATAATATAATATAATGATATTATATAAAAAGATCGGCGACAATAAATCGCACTCGATCGTCGTCATTATTTAAAAAACAACAATAACAATACAACAACGATGCGACGTATTTTTAGACGCTTATTTTACCCGAAAAATAACTCGAGGAATATATTTTATGTATAGCTGCAGCCTGCAGGTACCTCCAAGTGTAAAATATGTATAACATATTATTAGGTATATACCTTAAGACCTGTAATTTTAAATGATGATTAAAATACAAGCGTAGGAGCTTACGTTATCTGTACATATAAAATCCAAATACCACTTAGTCACTGATCGCTGTACTTCAAAAACTACGTAAAGTACGAACTTGAAATTTGGAATAGAGATTCTTCTCATATTTTCACAGTGAAATAAGAAATGATTTTCCGAAATTCGCATTTTAAGCAGGTTCTCAAACAGGGGCATTAAGGTTCACGATGGAAATTGGAAATTTTATTTTTATTTATTAATATAGTTGCCATTGGTTACAGTCAACAGTAGAAATTAGTGTTTATTTATTATTGGTTTTGTTCATCGGTTCTTAGTACGGTTAGGTTAGGATAGGATTTTATATGAATTGATCATATTAATCTACCGTAGGTGGACTTAAGTAAAAACGACAAACTTAGTATAACTTTGATACTTCAGAGTTAAATTTTAAAGTTACGTACAAACAGCACGGGGTCTACCGCAGGTAAATTGCCTACCTGTTAATGTACTGCTGCGAAGCAGAATTGTTATTCCGGGTAACGAAAAAGTTGAGATAAATTTTGAACACCATACACCGATATTAAATAACGAATTGAACAAAGGTTGGGTCATATAGAGTTGATACATTTAACGGGCAACGAAGTGCACAGGATCAGCTAGTATATTTATAATTTTTAAATATTATATACCTACATTCGTCCGAGCTTCAATGCTGAGTCTGATATATATAACTAATATATGCATGCCGAAAACGACCACTTTCAGATAGTACCTGAAGCCAAGTGCGGGTTCACACTACACTGTGAAGTGTAAAATAATCACAGTTACCACCTGCACAGTTACCAAACGATACTGCAAAGTGGAATGTATTCAATTTTTGACCGTGTGGTTACATTTATGTGCGGAAAAGTGATAGCTAAAATAAAATAATATAATATGTTATCATCAGATACAATATTAATATCATTGGTATTGCATTTTGGTATAAACGTACAAATACGAAATCACTCGACAAGGTGTAGTGTGAACCGGCTTGAGAGGCCATGAACGACTGCTGATCCTCCGTGATATATATGCTCGTGGTCGGTACCAAAGAAATCTGTACTTCTACGTATTTCAAAATTGTGTAGGACACACATCGTTTGAAATCGATAATTCAAACCGTTGACTCTAATAACCGCACATTTCTGTTCGACAAATCTGGACCAATCTGCCCACTTTAAGCAGGTTAAGACGGCACACTTTTTAACAGTGCCGTATCCAAACATCACCTCGGCGCAAGGATGTCTGAGATATAAACTATAATAATATAACCTTTATAATTTTGTTGTTTTATGGTTTTCTGCGTACATAATACACTGCAGCGAGACACGAGTGTTCTATATATTGATCGAGAAAGTATAGTATTATTATAGTAAACTGCAGTTCTTGTTCTGTGGTAGTTCCTAAATATAGTAACTATATAGTATAGACATTTGGGTGACTTAAGTTGTGCACCTATTCAGTGAGCTTTTAACTATTGTTAATTGCTAGGTATAGTTTAATACTTGGCCTGCATTAGCGTATAATATTGTTATTAAGCAGTACCTATATAGGTAATTTAAATGGTTGCTATTGGTGTGTTATGTATAATACTTGTTATGTAAATACTTGGCAACATAATAATATAAATATATTATACCTGCATTAGTATTTAGTACTCATTTTCCAATTATCGTCATTGAGTTCAGACCTGCAGTAAAGTCCGTTTCTAATGATTAATACCTACGTGTCAACTGAAGATTATACGAACTAGTAATTAATACTCTATACACAAGTAACTGCAAGTAAGGTACATTAATTATTTTATGTGACAGTAATATTGTAATTGTATGGATAATTATATAGAATTAGTACTTTTTAGCATAATCATAATTTTATTGTACTAAGTAGTAAATAGTAGGTATTTCATGATTACAATTTATAATATAATATTACCGAAAAAATAATCTTGAGTCCGAAACTCCGAACTAGGTATGTCTGCAGACCATATTTATCGATGAGCATTCTTGATTTTTTTGTACTTGGTTTACTAAATAACAATTAGATAAATTGGACTTGAAAATACCTAATACTTGGAAGAATGAAACAAAATTTTGATTTTATTTAAAAAAATTGTTACAATATTATTCATATAGTTCAACACAAATATCTATTCTTCAACAGTTCAACACTGTTTAAAATGTATCTATTAGTTTCGTATTAAGTTATATGGATTTCCAATTCAATGTAATATAATGTATGAAAAATGTAATTTCTTTAATGGTAATATTGTAATGATTATTATAATAATAATACAAATCTGAGCCATTATGAAAAATTAAGTTAGGACTATAATAATACGTATACAAAGTGGTAAATAATTAAATTTTTGATTTAACATATTATTTGAGTTTTATTACAATCAGTTTCTAAATAAAATGTTGTATTCATTTATTATTATTATTAAATTTAAATCTGTTTCTTTCTTATAATTTTCTTTATTTTATTTTCAGTTTTTTGTTTGTACTGAAGACTGAGGTTCATAAGATTGAAAAAATAGTAATTATGGAACAAAAAAATAACTCTGATGTAAGTATTCAATGTTATACACAATGTTACACATTTATAAAATTGTAATGCTTGTTTTATATATAATTTTCATAATATGTTATAAATAAGTTAAATTGTTCATTATTACATAATATTTAATCCAACATTCTAACCTGACGAAAACAATAATCAGCACCACAATTAAACGGTAGGAATATAGACAAGATACCTATGTGTCATTAGATTGCTATTTTCAACTAAATTCAGCCTGGATGAGCATAAGCATATATATATGTGTATTAATTTACACAATTAGAGATAGAATAGTTTTTATTTATTATTCATGCAATATTAAGTGTTATTTAGTCTCTATATATTTATACATTTTAATCATCAATTTTTTTAATTTGTATTATTTTAGCAAGTGTTAAATACTGTAAGATCGATTGTTTACCATTTAAATGATGTCAACTGGGTTAAGATGACACAAAAAATGATGGCTTTGCCAATAAATAATGTTAAACTACTCGATGACATAACAAATATAATATTTGATCGGGTATGTATATTGTGTATAAAATTAATATTGATTATAGTTCTAACTTCTAATTGAACTTGTATAGTTGTATAATATTATCATTGCGTTTTATTTTATCTATTGCATTATCGTTATATCCATCTAGGCTTTAAAAAGACAAAATTATACACACATATACGCTCAGATGTGTGCACGTTTGATCAATGACTCCAAGTTTAATAATCTTATTGCTACCGATACAGAAATAACATTTCAAAAAGTGTTATTAAAAAAATGTCACGATGTTTTTTATTCAAACTATCAAGAAGAATTGAATAAAATAAAAGATACAATGAAAAATGATAATATGGTAAATATAGTTATGTTGTCATTATATTTTGTTATGACTTATGATTATTATTTATTATCATCTATGGTTCTCAACATATTATTAAAATACCTTTATACGTTTTATTTTTATTCCTAAATCCTGTATGAAATTATATGTAATTCTGAATTCAAAATAAGTTTACCAATTTTTAGAAGTTGGTTCAATAATACTTATACATACTATTATTTGTTTACCAGGTACCGAAGAAGTGTTTATCCGTTGTTTTAAATAATTTTCTATTCGATTTCCAGAAAAGATCCATATGCAATTGCAGGTGTGTTTTGAATTAGTATTATTTAATTAACACTTTCGTTATTTTTATTTATGTAAATTATTACTTTTGATAGATTTATTGGCGTACTGTTTAAAAACGGCGCGTTCCCAGAAAAGTATATACTCAAGTGCATTGGAGATTTAGGTAAAGATAAGAATGACAACAACTATGAACTACAAATGCACTGTTTGTGTATAATATTACAATCAGTTGGGCTAATATTATCAAAAGTAACAACAAAAAATTGCTACGAAGAAATTGTTTAATATAAATAGTTTTTTTTCCAGACGTCATATGATTTGAACAAAAAAATCAATAAACTTGTATCGTCTATGGAAAACCATGGGATGTCATCGACATTAAAATGTTTGATAAAGAAACTAAAAATAATGAATTCCAAGGGTTGGATGTGTAGTATCATGCATAAAAATATTGTTAACTAGGTTAAGTAAACATTCAATGTAATACGAAAACATTTAGTATAATTTTAAACATAGTCAGTAAGTATAATGAAACTAGGTTAAACTTAATATCGATACTACAAATAGTGCTTCGATTGTAAATTATAATATTAATATATAAGTAATATGGGAAGATAGATAGGGGTCAGTCAGCGGTGATCGTGTGTTTCGATCGCCACTGGACGTAAGAGTTTTAATAAAAGTGCTTAATAATAATTGTTCTTTTTTATTGTGTGCGTCTGTCAAACGGCGTATACGACAGTGGCGCCCAACGACAATCGTAATCCACGACCCGGAATTTTTAACATTTGTGTATTTGTTTGTTTGTGTATTTGAGTTTAATTTGTTTTAATTACAAGTACCTTTTTTTTTTTGTGTGTGTTTTACACATATCGCGTTTTATAATTTGTCCATCAGATTGAACATTTACGGCGGGAAGACTACGAGCAATTGGGTCCATCATTTTGGAGTTTTACACACTCAAGGTGAATATTAGTGTATGGTTATATTTTGTATTTTTGTATGTATGCGATCTATATTTTACGAATAATTTTTTTTGTTTAACCAATTTTTTTTTATTATTAGTGTTCATTTATTTATATTTAAATTTAAGAAGTAGTTATAATTATTTAGTTAGGTTTTTACATAGTAATATATATATACCTTTTTTTTTTTATCAAACACTCCCAATAAATTTTTCTTACAATAAATTTAATAAAATTTCTTAATAATTTAAATTTGTAGGGATTTTAACAATATTATAAAGTAGGTATATAATTTTAGTTAATATAAGATAAACATAATTAAAAACCGTTAAAATGTCCAAGTATAGATTTAGGATTATTTAAATTATTTTTCAAATTTTATAAATTAATGAATCAACTTAAAGACCCTAAATCGGATCTTTCTATAACAATAAATACTGCAACAGAAATCTATACTCTCAAAAAACCATTTCTAATTAAATATTGCGAAAATAAAAAATTAAAATCAACAGGTACAACTAGTGAATTAAGAGCTAGACTTAGTAGATACTTAAAAGGCACCATATCATTAGACGACATAGATAACACATTAAGCAAAGAAGAATGCGATTTAATTTTAATCAAAGCAAAAACTAATAAAATCGATTTAATAAATTAGAAAAAGAAGCAGGAATACTCGATTCGAGCGATTCGAGCACTGACACAAATACAATTAATAAATTAACTTCAGACAGCTTTTCAGAAATATCAAAAGATAATTTAAAATTATACGATAATCTTAATGCCAGTACAAGCTCATTTGTGAATAACACCGAAAATATTCTAACAAATTCAGATCTAACTTACCAAAATTGTCAAAAGGAAAGTTCTGATACTTATGAAAATATATTAAAAAATCTTAAGATTAATGATACTTCTAATAATATTTATGAGGAAATAAAATTAAATACTCAACCAGAAAATAGTGAGATTATTGAAAATAAGTTAATAAATCTTAATAATTCAACAACTATTGATTCTGATAACACAAGTGAAAAACCAAAATTCAAAAACGAAAACACAACAATAAAAAAAAATAATCAAAAAGGAGATAACCTAAACTCTGAAATTCATTCTACTCTGTTAAATAAACAAACACAGATAATGACAGAAAAAATTCTAATGATTCGACCAGACCAGTTCTCAGGTAATGAAGACGTAAGAAAATATTTCAAGCAATACGAAAAAGCAGCAGATGTAAACGGTTGGAAGGACGAAGATAAAGTAAGATTTTTATCGATATTCGTAAAAGGTACAGCAAGCATATTTTTGGAAAATTTGGAGGACAAACATAATAATTGGACATGGAATGATTTGAAACAGGAGTTTCTCGACGAATTTCAACCAATCGGTTACCATACAATTTTAAAAACTAGATTAGAAAATAGACGTCAAGGAGATACAGAGTCTATAATGAGTTTTGTAACAGAAATAGAAAATATATGTAGACAATTAAATAAAAATATGCATGAAGATGAAATTTGCACTTATATTTTAAAGGGATTAAAAGAGACAGTCTTACATGCAATTTCATTACATGACAATAGCAACCTAAAGGAGCTAAAGAAAAATTTAAAAAAATTTGAACTGATGCAATTTCGAATTAATAACAGAGGACCAGAATTAAGTGATTATACAGAAATGCTTAATGAACACGTATCTCAACTAAACCAAAAAACAAAAGAAAAAGGAAGAGAAATCGATGAACTAAAAAGACAGTTAATAGAGAGAGATAGAGAATACAAAAAGGAGATGAACCAGTTAAGGGAAAATATTCAACAAATCAACATTACAGAAAGAAGAAATAAATCGGTAAACTTCGATGATGAAGAAATAGGTAATCGATATAATAATAAAAATTATAACTATAATGAAGATAGGAGCAGAAGTTATAATAGAGAAACAAATTATCGAGGACGACAACGTGAATACAAAGATAAAAGTCCATACCCAGGAAGATTTAATGACAGAAGTAGAGAATCTAGCAGAAATAGACAATATGGTAGAGACAGATCACAGTCCAGAGAGAGACAATATTACAACAAAATACAAAACGAGACTAATACATATCGAGATTACGAAAGAAATCCAAGCCATAGATATGATCCAAACAATTACGAATATAGAGATAACTCACGTAATAGAGAAGCTAACTTAAATACAGTCAACGGTAGAGGCTATAGAAACAGATCACATTCAAGAGATCGAGACAATAATGGAAATTACAATTACAACTACAGGCATCAATACAGCAGAGAACATAGTCGAGAGAAAACACCAGAAAGATACAGGGGAGATCGCTATGATAAAGAATCGGAAAGAGTTACATGCTATAGGTGTAATGAAAAAGGTCATTATGCCGATAAGTGTACAAATACAAAAAACTAGTAGGTACCGAGTTGAAAAAAAAATCGGATTGTTTAACTCGGGAATATAACTGTAACAATTTTAATGACACAATAGGAATAGAGAAAAATAATTATATACACTACGTAAAAAACTGGCACAACACACAAGAAACGAAGAAATGCATAATTAACAATTATCAGAACATTGACCTATTAAGAAATCATAACAAAACTGTTATAATAAACAACATCGAAAAATACAATTCAGCAATTAAATATAATACTTCAGAAAAACATCACAAAAACGAAGGTGATGACGAAACTGAAAGAAAAATTAAACATACCGCTGGCTCATTCATAAAAATACAGGAAGTACCTTGCGATGGAGATGATGGTGCACATTCACTACGGATTTGTTTACTACAACATGGAATAAAAAAAACTACCTTAGAAATAATTAACATGCTGACTATTGATAAAATAAACTCCGGTTACAATTTTAGAGACGACGACTTAGCGTATGTTTGCGACCATTTTGGCATGAATTTATTTATAATAGCTGAAAAAAATGACACTTCAAATGCTATAATTTATTGGAAAACAAACAGGCCAAGTATAGGCATTTTTTATAAAAATAATCACTGGATGCCGGCAGTCGAAATAAAAACAAATGAACCACAAATATTCTCAAATATAATAGTTAACACAATTTTTCCCGAACGTAGCAATATCATTGAACATGTACAAAACTACATGAATAAATATGTAGACCATACAAAATGCACAGAGACAAGCACAAACACCGGGACTGAATATGATAATAAACATAGAGTATTGTCAATAAATGTAGAACACGAAGGAATTGAGAAACACGCCATAATTGATACAGGATCAAATATTTCATGTATAAATGTTTCGCTAATCAAAAACCTTCAATGCATAAAAAACAAAGAACAAGTTACGATAACAGGCGCAAACAATTCAAAATTGGATCAAGTGGGAAAAATAAATTTAATGATTAAAATAAATAATCAGCAATATTTTATTGATGCATTTGTTATAAAAGGGCTAAATTGCGAAATATTATTGGGGAATAATTTCAATATTAAAAATAATTTAATAATAAATTTCAAAAACAAAAACATAAGAATCAATAACGATGTCATAACGATGAACGAAGTATGGTATAACTATTACAAAGAGAATAATAATTCAAACAACAGAGAAAGCAAATATAACATAGCCAGCATAAATTATAATACAAAATATATTGGAAAAATCATATGTAAAGACAATATAACGATATCACCTAAAAGTAAAATAAATATAAATACAAAAAATATGTATATAGAAACAAAAGAACAAAACAAAAGTTATGTAATAGAACTTAGAGAAAGTTTAAGCAAAAATAAGTATTTAAAATTGGAATCAACATACTTTAACATTGATGACGGAATCACAATTTACAATTTTTCAAAATTATATAGTAACATACCGAGAGGAATGACGATAGCGAATTTAATAAATACTGACACACCAAGGGTACAAGACGACACAGTATGTGAGCAAATAAACACCACTAACAAGACACCAACAGAAAACTATAATGACGATAACATTGAAGAAATTATGGATAAGCAAGGAAATGTTATTAAAATATCACAGGAATTAAATACTGAACAAAGAAAAAGGGCCTTAAGACTTATAAACAATTATAAACATTTATTTACATCAGATCCTTTAGACATTGGTTGCGCCAAGGTAGAACCATGTGAAATTAAATTAAAAACAGATAAAGCAATATTCCAACCACCATACAGAGTTTCACCTGCACAAAGACATAAATTGAGAATTCTAATTGAAGAAATGATAAACGCAGACATAATAGAACCTAGTAAAAGTAATTACGCTGCTCCAGTATTTTTAGTTCCTAAGAAAGAAAAAGGGGAATACCGATTCTTAGTAGACTATAGGAAATTGAACAACGAAACGATACCCGACAAACACCCAATTCCACGATCACAAGATCTTTTTAGAAGCCTGGAAGGGGCTCAATATTACTCTTCTATAGACATGGCCCAGGGGTATTTTCAAATTCCGATAAAACAAGAGGACCAAAATAAAACAGGATTCATAACAGATTTTGGACTTTTTAATTTCAAAAGGATACCACAAGGGTTTAAAAATTCAGCACCAATTTTTCAAAGAATAATAAATAATGTATTCAGTGACTATCTGTACAGGACAATGATAGCCTACCTAGATGATATATGTTGTTTCGGAACCAATTTTGAAGAAGCGCTAACTAATTTAAAAGATATATTCAGTAGACTGGAAGAAGCGGGTCTAAAATTAAAAACAAATAAATGCAATTTTTTTAGTTCAAATATTGAATTACTTGGACACTCAGTATCAAACATAGGCATAAAACCATTAGAAAAAAATATTAAAGCGATTACTTCATTTCCAACTCCAAATAAAATAAAAGACGTAAGAGCCTTCATTGGACTTACAAGTTATTATAGGAAATACATTAACAATTTTGCAAAAATAGCAAACCCTTTGACAAGCTTAACAAAAAAGGATAATAAATTTGTTTGGGGAAAAGAACAGGTAGAAGCTTTTGAAATTTTAAAAAAGGCCATAACCACAGCACCAGTTCTGGCACATTTCGAAGATGGATACCCAGTTTTTGTTACCACTGATGCTTCGCTAGAAGGATTGTCTGGTATACTGGAACAAGAAGACAACAACGGTAAAAGGCATCCTATAGCCTATGCTTCTAGAAAATTAAAAGGAGGTGAAAAGAACTATACAACTACAGAATTGGAAATGTCGGCTGTAGTATTTGCGACAAACCACTTCAGAGAATATCTCTTAGGGAGAAAAATAACTGTGTTTAGCGATCATTCCAGCTTACAGTATTATCAAACGATGAAAAACCCATCATCTCGTATTACAAAATTTATTTTTAAACTCTTAGAATACGATCTTGAAATAAAACATCGCCCAGGCTCATGGAACACGGCTGCAGATTGTCTCTCGCGTTACCCCGTTAATATAACGGAAATTTCTGATATGTTAAACGATGACGACGGCAAAGAAAATATAGACACAATTAATTTCGACACAATAGAACCTGAGACACTGAGAACATTACAGTCAACAGACGAATATTGTAAAAACATAATTTTATCCTTATCAGGAGGTACTAAAAATAAATACTATAAAAAATCCAGAAAATATATTATTAAAGACAAACTACTATACTTCAAAAATTGGTCACCACATGGTATAAAATATTTATTAGTTATTCCGACTAATTTGGTAAATACTGTCTTAAAGTCCTACCACGAATCCGTTTTTTCAGCACACTTTGGTATTACGAAAACTTTATCAAAATTAAAAGAAAAATATTACTGGCCAACCATTATACAAGATACTTATTCTTTTATAAAAACATGTACATCATGTCAGCTTTCCAAAAAGCCTCCAGGTAAAAGCAACGGACTACTACAACCAATACCTTTAATTTCGGGAAAGCCGTTACAAAGACTAACATTTGATTATCTAGGCCCATTACCAACGTCCAACGGAAAAAAATATATTATTGTAGCAACCTGCAACGCAACAAAGATGGCCTTTGCGAAAGCAGTTACGAATGCAAACGGAGCAGCCACGATAAATTTCCTTATGGAACTAATAACATCTTACGGAGTCCCTAAATATTTTTGTAGTGATAGAGGCACTCACTTTAAAAACAAAGAAGTAGAGTATGCATGCAAAAAACTAGGAATTGAACAAATATTCTCAAGTGCCTACCATCCACAAACGAACGGTATGACTGAACTAATGAATAAAATTATTTGTAGTAGCCTAACGCACTACGTAAATGAAAATCAAAAACAATGGTCCTTATACTATAAAATGGTAGTTTTTGCATATAATACTTGTCCTAGCTCAAGACTAAAAGTCAGCCCATTTTATTTACTACATGGCATGGAAGCTAATCAACCATTGGACAACAAATTAATGTCTGGAGAAAAAGAAACATTTAATCTTACAAAATCTCTAACACAATTACAGATAATTAGAGAAACTATACCAGGAATAATAAAAAACGAACAATCAATCCAGAAAAAGTTATACGATCAAAAACACAAAGACATTAACTTCAAACCAGGACAGAAGGTATTAATACAATTCGATTTTCAGGAACCAAACAAAACAAAAAAGTTAGCTAACAAATATAGAGGTCCTTTTACGATTGTTGAAAAATTAACAGAGGTAAACTATAAAGTAGAATTAATTCTAAATAAGAAAAAGGTATTAGACGTTATACACGTACAGCGAATAAAACCTTTCCATGAAAATTTATAAATTTGAATAAAAATTACATATACATTCTTATAAGAATTAATTTACAATATTAAACCAATTACCAATCAATGATCTGTTCTAGATGTTATCCAAATATATTTTAATTCTCATATCAATCACCAACACATGTGCTGAGGAAGATATAGCTATAACTGTGTCACCCGGAGCATTTTTCGAAGAAATCCAAGAAGCCATCTTATACGACAAAAGTATTCCTCTGGTATACACGCAAGAAATCCAAGATAACAATTCAAACAACATCAATTATAGCTGGGGGGGTACAAAAATATTGTACAAATAAAAACACCAATTATTGTAATATTATGAAAGAAACGTTAGAAATCCTAACTACCATAAATAAAAATATAGAGGACAACGACAAAGATATATTAGAGATCATAAACCTCAACCTTAAAAATAATAGATCAAAGAGAGGCATACAATTATTCGGGAACCTGTACCATTTCTGTTGCAATATAGCTACTGAAAAACAATTGAAAAATATTTATACGAACGAAGAAGCGTTAAATCAACAAATTAATAAATTTAAAGATGTTTTCGTGTCAGATCATAGGGATTTAATTAATATTACAACCGAATTAAACAAATATACTAAAAACACAAATAATAATATAAAACTATTAAAAGAAAACTTCATCA